CTTTAGAGACGAAACGAAAACGAGGGCCGATTGGTTAAGACTTCTTCAACTTCTGTTTTTTCTACACCATGCTTCGTCGCTAATTTCTCAACAAATTGTTGCTGCCATATAATCTCATCAATCAGCAAATTTCTGCTCCGGTCCTGTGTTGGCGTTTCTGGCGAATAGCCTGGTGTTTGATAGGGTAAGTTTCAATTAAAGAACAGGTCAGGCGAGTGCCACACACTTTCCCGGTTCTCTTTCCTTGCAGACATTATATCACATTGTCTAACGATCTTTGCAACACTTTGCTGACGTGATGGCAGGGTCATTTAGTTTTTAAGAAATTTATGGGGATTTCACGCTTGTTTTTTGGACGATCCGGGTGCGGTTGGGAAACCGCATCTACCGGGCCGGGGATCAAAACGCGTAAAAAACGGAAAACTGAATGGCTATGGACGTGAGGTGTGTAAATATTTCGACAGCGGTTTGTGAGAGATAGAAACCTCTTCGTGTTTTAGGCAAATACAAGGCACAAACTAACAGTTTATGCTACACAGGCAGGCAACCTGTTAACAATGTCTACTGTTTCCAACTCACCGTGATAACTCTGTCCAATCAAACGGAGGATATACTCTGGATCTTCTTCACGATTCGGATTCGTTGACGATACCGCTGCGTTTGTCTACTCTGACGCGATACTGATCGACCACCCACTCCAACGCGACGATTGCCCAACCGATACGCAAACACTTCAGGAGGGATGCCCTCCAGCGTGAGGAAGTCGTTGTATTTCAAACTTTCGTCTTATCCTTTGAGATTTCATCCGCTCCACAGACAAATCCACTTGCAACACCACATCCCGGGTGTCTCATTGGATTGAGTTTATCGTATTCGGGTTGTATCTCGTAGTTGACGTGGATATCTGCCAACCGCGCACCTGCCTTTGCAAATCCCCAGAAGTCTTCGGCAAAGGGGATATGCGGCAAATCACGCTTGAGGTTTTCCTGATACCGCTCGCGATAATCGGGATGATGCAGGATCCCGTAGGTATAGTGGAAGATGTCCCACTTTGTGATGGTGTCATCTCGGTAATGAGTTCGGAACTGTGCCAACACCCAATCGGTGATGTTTTCGCGACGTTTGTGCCATCTTCATCGTATGTATAGAACGGGAAGCATTGAGAGGGCCCCTTGTGGTAGAGCTTCAGGAATTTGGTTTGCCATTAGCGCGAACATTGGCCACTGTTGTCCAACTTTGAGCCATATTACGCGATTATCCAATTCAGTATCGGGTGTCGGAAAGATGGATGGGAACTGGTAAGTCCTCTGGTTCATCAATTTGTCAAAGTAGAGGTTGGATTTTGTAAATGGACGATAGAGAGAATTCCTTATCTGTTCCGGTGCGAACTCGACTAATCTGCCTTTTGCCAGTTCCATCTTCAGTCGATCTGTCCATTTTATTTTAGTGCTGTCAGTCGAAACAAAGGCATCAACACTTTGTGTCCGTTTAACGCGCCGTTCCCACTTAGAGACCTCTGAGTTGTAAAACTCCATCATCGCTTGCATGTTTTCAGCAAGCGCGTCTCGGTTGAAGTTGTAAGCCCATGCATCGCGGGCTGTTAGCACACCAACACTATAGGTTTTAAAAAAAGCATCCTCTACAACGCCCCGGGTTGCCTTCGCGAATTTGCTTCCCATCGGGATAAAGGTGTCAAAATCGGTGTGGAGATCCGCCGTGAGCCATGTCTGCCGTTTATCAGGTGTTAGTTCCTGCCATTTCAGATTACCAACATGCTGGCTTGCGTCCAGAAATGCCAACGTCCGTGTCTTACTCACATCCGCCGTTTCGTCGTTATAGAGAATTCGCGCCGGAGACATCCGCTCATTCTGCCCTGACTTCACGAGGAGGTTAACGCTCACACCGACCTGAATGCCGAACACATTGGAGTCCCCCGATTGTCCCTTGCGGACGTTTCCGCCTAAATCGAGAACATAGAGCATGTCAAACTCCTCGGAGAGGTGCTTCCGCATCCCGTCAAACATCTGCCCATCAATAAAACTGTTGTTTGTCACGAATGCGACAATCCCCTCGTCGCCGATTTTATCCATCGCCCACCGGAACGCCTTGACATACGGATCGTAGAGTTTGTTTTTCAATTGCGCATTGGAGTCCGCAGCAAACGTGTCCCGGACGCGGGCATCAACCCCCGCATGCCGTCGATTTTTGTTGTTGTCGTTCTCATTGTCCTGACTCGCGTTGTAGGGGGGATTCCCGATAACAACGAACATTGGGGTGTCTTTCTGTTCCTCAACCCGCAGCGTATTCTCCTGCGTGAAATAGGCAAACTCCCCGGTTTGGTGTGCCGCGTCCATCAGACCGAATGTATCAAACGTATCCACGAAGCAGATATGTGGAAAGGGTTCATAATCGCCAGTTTTCTCAAAATAGGCGTGTTCAATGTTGAGATTGGCGATGTAATAGGGGAGTAGCATCACTTCGTTGCAGTGGAGTTCCTCGCGGTATTTTTGCGGTAATCGCCGCCCTTGAATCTCTTGCATGAGTCGGACGATGAAGTTGCCGGTGCCAACGAACGGATCGATAATGTGAACACCCATATCCGACAGCGAACGTCCGAATTCAGTCATGAGAACATGCTCAACGCTTTTCACCATGAAATCGACTATCGGCTGTGGCGTGTAGACGATGCCGTGCGTATCGGCAATATCGACAGAGAAGCCTTGAAAGAACTGCTCGTAGACGGTATTTAGAAAAGCCTGTTTCTGTGAGAAATCGGTGATGGTGGCGGCGGTTTTCTCGATCGCAACGTAGAACGGATCCAGAGGACGGAGGAACTCGGAACGGCTCGGGGAACGACGGGTGAGGATCTGGATCACCTTCTCAATTTCTTGGGCGATGATGTTCCTGTTGGTAAAATCAGGATTGTCAAAGACGGTGCGGAAAATTCGCTCGGTGAGAAGGTGCTGGATAAGCATCTCTTCAACTTGTGGCTCGGTGAGGTTTGAGTCAATAGATGCCCTGCATTGCTGATGAAAGTTCTCGAAGGCTTGTCGGAACAGCGGATTGTCCTGCATTTCGGTCTCAATGCGCTTGGCGACACCGCGCCCTAACACTGGGACCTTTTCTTTGAATTCTTCAACGGCGGCATACCAATCGACGATGTTTTCTTCCCGATACGCAAAGAAGGTGTTCAACAAATTGATAAGGTCGTTCGGATCTGTGAGGTCTACATCAGAGCGGAGGTGCCCATTTTGATAGAGGAGTGCCCGGGTCGGCGACTGAATGATGATATTTTTAAACGGGTAACCCGCCTCCGATTTCTTCCGCGCTTCTGTCGGGAGGTCATCGTGTGTATCTTTTGCTTCCCAGTGTCCGTGTGGCAGGTCAAATGCATCAACGACCTCGCCATCTATCTGGATTCGCCTTTTCTGTGGAGTGTAGCGTGTCTTTTCACAGACGAGGATGAGGTCTGCTTGTCGGCAGTAGTGTTGGAGTAGGTTTTGGAATGCGGTTCGGACTGCGCCTTCATGTTCTGCACCGATTTTCGCGTATTCCTCAAGTTCCGCGTAGTAGTTTTTGATGGGTTTATGTGTCGGTTTGATGTTGAGTGCTGGCACAAGGTTTTCTCCGTATATTTTCGGCAATTGAACTTAGGATAACTCCAATTATACACGGATGAGGGAGGTAATTGCAAGGGAGACTGCCTAAGTTAGGCAAAATCAGAACTCACATAAACAGGACTTACGCAATTTTGACGATAGCACGTTCTGTGAAATGGAAATGCTCTAAAAAACGCAGACGGTTTCTTGACACAGGCTAACAGCCTATGCTACAGAAGAACAACATGCGTAAGTCCTGATAAATTTGATAGGCGCGCTTGGGAAGCGCGCCTATCAATGAAAGGTTACTGACGTACCGTGTCAGTCCCATCTAATTTTTCTTCCGGTACTCTTGCAAAAGGGCATTAATCTTATCAAGAAACTCTTGTGAGTAAATCTCACCGACGAGTGCTTTGTGGGTTTCTGCGGCAATGGCATCCCACGCTTCTCGCGCATCGTCCTCGAATTCAACCACTTGAATACCTGCCTTCTTTTGGAGTGCCTCAAGAGCCCGTTCATTATCCTTGCGAATATTCCGAATTAATTCGCCCTGATACGCGTCCGCGACTTCACGCAAAACTTTCTGCTGATCCGGGGAGAGTTGGTCGAACTTCTCCTTTGTGATAACTGTTGCGCCAACACCGACATTAACAGGAAGGTTTGTCATGTATTTGAATTTATCGTGCCATTGCAGCGCGACAGTGACATAGGGAGACGCAGTCAGGGTGTTGAGCTGCCCCGAGTAAAGCGAAGACAGTACCTGTGTAACCTCTCTTGGTACAGTTGCGATCTCGGCGTTCTTGTAAAACTCAAGCGCAATTTTGTCGCTCGTACGAGCCCACATCTTAACGTTTGGGGATTGAAGGTCGGCAATAGTGCGGATAGGTTGATTGCTGAATATATAATAAAAGCCGATGTCTCCCATACCGAGTAGGACATACCCGACATCCATAAATGCTTTGTCAAGATCTGCCCGGAGGTAGTCACGGACATAGTCAAGTTCTTCGTAAGTTCTGAACATTCGAGGCAGTTGAAAAATCAGGACCTCTTCCTGTATCTCGCCAAGACCCGTAGCGGTCATAGCACCCGCGTCGATCAATCCTGCTCTCATCTTGCGGATGACATCAAGTTCATCTCCTTGGACTCCATTTGGATAGATACGGAGTTTGAGTTCACCATCCGTTTGGGCGCGAATTTCTTTTCCCATCGCCTCAAAATTATTCATCCATGCGGAACCCTTTGGCGCAAGTGTCGCGAATTTAATAGATTCCGCGTCGAGATGCGCTACGGGCAGACAGAACATTCCTAAAATCAGTAGAAACACGCTCGCCAATTTAAAAGGGGAATCGGGGCGTTTTTGCTTGGGTGTTTCCCCTCTTACATAGACTGTTTTCTTGTTCTTCATTCGTCTGTGTCTCCTTCCTCCATTTCTGGATCAAAAAGAACATCAACCTGATCGAGCCAGCGTTTGGCGCGTGATTTTGCCAACGAAGTCGCAGCTTCCTCTCCAGGATAAATGTCCGAGGGTGCATCAAGAATTTCTTGTAACGCCGTTTTGTAAAGTTTCACATCCTGTTTAGGATAGGCATAGTAACGTGCGAGGTAGAGTTTACTCATCAAAAACTTGCCGTCATTGATTCGATCTACATGCGCAATGTGTTCCTTTGCCTTCTCCGGGTCTCCACCGATTGCTGGCGCGCGGTCGCCGTAATAGACAGTATAAAACAGATGGGCACCACCGAAGTAGAAAGTTTCGTCCAATTCAAGCACACGTTGCATCATCAGTTCCACCCGAGCGAGGTCAATTACCTGCATCGGATCATCTTTCTGGAGGCTAATGCCGCGTGCAATCGAATAAGCCGCCCAAAATAGCGGTTCAACATCCTTTTTCTTCAAACGCTGAAGTGCTTTTTCAAAGCCATCGATATCAACGGTTCTTGCCTCATTGAAGGTTTTATCGGACTTCGCCAAAGCCTTGAGCGCGTATCCCTCAGAACGGATATAGAGGTCAATTGCTCGTGCGTGCATCTCCTCCGCAGTCTCAGAGTCGCCTGCTATTTCAGCCTCTTCCATCTTATCCTCAATAAAGCCGGCATAAGATGAATACGCGCGAGCCGTCTTAATAATGAGGTTCGTATTCCCAATCTTAGCCATACGCTCAAGCGTACCGATGTTCCCCTCAAGGGTGGCTTCTACCACAGCGAGGTCGCCTTCCCCTTGAATGCTTGCCAGTTTGGCAAGGCCACATCCACCTAAGAGTATTGGGAGGAACAGTAAAAGAGATATACGAAAATAAAATTTGCTGTATACCATCGGTTTAAATTAACCTCCTTAGAGTTGTTAGAAAGAATGGTTGTCAGCTGTCGGCTTACGGTTTCCGCCAGTAAAGAAGTTCTCTTTCTGACTGCTGACTGCTGACCGCTATTCCTCTGATGACTATTCTTTAATGATAAAGGAAAAGTGGAATCGTTGTCTCCTGAATCAAGTGCTGTGTAACGCTGCCGACAAAAAACTCACGGACGCTTTTTCTACCGTAAGCACCCATCACATAATATAATTTGTAGGCTACGCTGAAAAGGGCAAAAGCGCGACTGTGCCATCAACATACCCTTCAGGGGTCTCAATTTGGACACGGCTGCCTGCTTCAGTAATTGCCATCCGAACGTAACCGAGAGCAACCGATTTTCCGAGAGTCGGGGCAAAGGTAGCACTCGTAACCCAACCAATCTCTTTGTCTTCTTTGAAAATTGGAAGCCCCTGGATGAAGGATACAGCGTTCCTGTGATGTTGAATCAGGATCAACTTCAATACCACGTAAGAGACGATTCGGGTGACCTCGATACTTCATGCGCGCGACAATTTCTTGTCCAATATAACATCCCTTCTCAAAATCGATAGCGTGTTCTAATTCAGCCTCAAGTGGGATAACAGAATCGGTCAATTCTGTTCCATATCTCGGCACACCTGCCTCAATTCGGAGCGACTCAAGGGCATTCCAACCGATCGGTTGAACATTAAAGCGGGCACCTTCAATCATCAATGCCTCCCAAAGCGACCCTAATGCTTCGGCAGCGGTATAAAGCGTCCAACCCCTCTCGCCAGTGCTATCTGTTCTCACACAGACGGTTGTGTGGTCATAAAGCGCATCTGCTTCACGAAAGCAGTTATACCGCTCTGGTAGCGCAGCAAGTTCGTTTATACCGAGCACAGATTGAACAAGATCCGTCGACTTTGGACCGTGAACAGCAATCGCCCCAGTCTCAGCGGTTACATCAGAAAGCTCAACATCGTCAGCGATGATGTACTTATCCAATTCGCTGAAAAGGCTTTCTGTGGTCTCAGGCGCGGTGTCAATACTGATTGCGTCTTCAAGAACAGAGATACTCAAATCGGCTATAATTTTGCCACGATGCGTTAGGAGCGTGGCGTAGGTGCCTTCGCCAGTTGAGAGACTTTCAACATCATTGGAGATGATACGATGTAGAAATTTCGCCCGATCCTCGCCGATTAACCGATACCGACCTCGATAGGACACGTCAGCGATACCAACGTTGTTTCTCACAGTATGATGTTCGGAAATAGCATCTGTGAATTCGGTCGCAATATTCCAATCTAAATGCTTTTTTGCGAATGCCGCACCGAGCTGTTCATGGATGGGATAGAGTGGTGTTATCTTCATTATTTTTTAACGATGGGAATTTGGTCACTGCTCCATTACATTTCGCAGTGGTTTCCGGTTAATTCCAACCGTTTCTCGATGATGAAAGACTTTTTAAAGACGTTCATATTTCTTTCTGCGTTGAAATTGACCAGACACCATCGTGAAACGTAGTGGAACGATGCCCAGAGGCACCTAATTAAAAAATTAAAACATGCGGTCCAAGCGCAAAATGATGCTCGGGTTTCGTAAGGAAAAAGATGAATTGAGTGGTTCTGCCAATTCAACCCCCAGGCTCCACGGTGAGGAGTTACCGAACGGATCTACAAAAACAGAGCATCCGACACCGATTGATGTCTTGAGCCGCGTCCTGAAATCTTCAAGATCCGAAAAGGGGGCATCATCATGCCACCACACACTACCTGCATCCAAGAAGCAACTCAGTGTCCATCCGAGCACAGCATCTTGTTCGCTGAGAATTGTTTCCTTGATGAGTCGATACTCAAGATTAAGCAGAAACCGGTTATCCCCAGCGAATACGTTAAAATCGTAGCCACGCAGGTTAGAACCACCACCCAGATGAAGGAGATGCTGCCTTGACAGGGGGGCATCGGAAAAATCACCCGCAATTCGAACATTTAAATGATGTGGACCAGATAAAGGCGTATAGCGTGCCAGTTCAAATCGATAGAAATTGAAGTCGTAATCCCCTCCGAAACCTTGCCCAGCTATCTCGACGGCGAACTGGCCGCGCCACCCGCGTCGGGTCCGCTCATTTGCATAGAACAGCGTATGGAAATGCCGTGTGTTAGTAGATCTGTGATCCCGTGTATCAAACGCATAAACGAGAGAAAGGCTTCTCAATTGCCCACGATTAATTCGCGGATTCCCCCGCTTGAGCCGATCCCGGTATAAGTAACTCCAATCCGTCGATTTAGAAAGATTATCGTGTCTCTCGCCAGTGAACTCCAGCTTAAGATACGTCCATTCTGATGGCGCGTAAGTTATCCACCCCTGTGAGCCCTGACGTTGATAATAATCCTGAAGCGAGAAACCGTAATAAGCGGCACTGAGATTAATCTCACCAGGACGTAGGTACATATTTGAACTGACATCGGTAAGTTTATAGAAGCTCCCTCCCAGTTTGAAAAGCTGCCGCTTAAAGAAACTTTTTTCGAGACCTGCGTGATAGTTCCATATTTTGCTGGAAAATCCACGGCTTATTGAACCAAAAACCTGTTCTTTACCCGTGAGCTGCGTCGAGAGTGTTCCCCGTGCGCCAAGCATTAAACCGTGAACACGATTGAATTGAAGAATCGGAAAACCACCGGGCCTCGCGAACGCCTGTTCTTCAATGTCAACAATCATGATGTTTTTGCCACCCTCACGCTGGACACGCCAATTCTGAATTGATTTGAAATGCTCACTGTTTTCACTGAGTTCTTTGCGCATACGGTTTATCTTCGATTGGCCAAGAGCACGATGGTAAATATCCGAGGCTTCTGAACCTTGCTCGCCATCACCGGTCTCAGTCTTTAGGTTAAGGGCCGACAACAGTTCTGCTCGCGAGATTCGACTGTTCCCAGTGAAACGAATTTCGTGCAATGTCCCCTCGTTAACGCTAAATTCAAGCACATCATTGACAGATCGATATGTAACCGTGGCGAACTCATATCCACGATTTGAATAAAAATCAGCAATTAGTTGTTGTTTCAGCACAGCGACCGCGACAGCAAGATAACCGGATTCTAACTGGAACCACTCCTTAATGAATCGCGAAGGGAAACTTCTGTTCCCTTCGATCTTAATGTGCTGGGCAAAAAGCACAGGGGCTTCCGTAACTCGGATATGCAAACTGACACTTGGAATAGCTATCGGTTTCCGTTGACTATCGGTTTCCGTCGGTAAAGAGGTTTCCGATGAATCCACACCCTCTTGCTGATTACTGACTCCTGACTGCTGACCGCTGACGGCTTCTTCACCGTCAACATCAACCTGTTTAGTTTCCAAACGCACATCCTGAAACCAATCCCGTTCCCGCAGTTCTGCAATCAGCCAAGAAAGTTGTGGACTTGTGATAATATCCCCAGGCTGAATGGGGAGGGACCGTTGGACCACCTCTGTCGGAATCGTGGTGTTTCCTTTAATTTCAATGGCAGCAATTTGGAATTTCGTTTCGGATGCAAAGTCTTCAGAAGCGAGTGGTGTCGTTACGAATGCCAAAACACCCATCGCTGGACCATAGCGTCCCGAAAGCGGACCCATATACTCCTGTGGCGAATGTGGCCACCACGGATGCTCGGTATCATAAATCGGCAGCCAATAACTATATTCTCTGGACGTAGCAGGAATAAGGCTCTTCATATTGCTACTATACATCTTACGATGGATGTTAAAAAGCCACTTGTTTTCAAAAGAGGTAGCTGACTGCGGATCCAGCTCAGGAGAAGGCTCCAACATTTTACGCGGGAGAGCGACCTCAAGGCTCCAAAAAGTAGCGTTAATTTGACTCGCAACTTTTGCATTTGAATTCCACGCACTGTCCGCATTGAACGCTGTTTGCATCGTTTTCCGATTTAAAGTGAACTGGACATCATGAGGCGCAAACTGGAAACTGGGTTCACCAGGTGTATTAACCTGCTGATCGAAATACGCACTAATTGGGTTGATAACAAGGTGATAATAGACATCAGTTTTCGGATTAGGATCGATCAGGATTTCAATACACTCGTCTCCCCAAATCGGTGAATTATGCTGCGTCTGTGAAATATGGGGAAGATACGAGTCAGACACGTACGCCTTTACACCGACATAGAAATTCTCGGCATCCCACATTAAAAAAGTTTCAGTTGAATTGCTTGGAACATCGGTGCCATCTGGATTCTGGAACGGAGAGAGTAGAGCAGCGGCTTGCCACGCGATTTCAGATAAATTTCCATCAATAGCGGGTGATTGTGCTACTTGCGGAACAGGTTGAGCAAAATCTACGATCAGATCCGTTTCAACATCTGCGGATGTATTTCCGCCGCTTGATGAACTCGGTAGAAGTGAAATCGCGTCAGTGGCTTTCAACCGAAACAGCGGTCCACCATCGTTAATAATGGTCAGTCCCGTTTCCTCGTCAAATTGTGCGGGCAAATTGACAACGATCTGCTGTTTCTCGCTCTCAACTTCAACATCTGCGGCATAATTTTCAGGAAGTCGTAGACGGATACTACCGCCTTGTGCGGTTATATCCATTGGTGCGGCAACAGGGTCAAGTACCACCAATCCAATTGAGCCATTTTGGGTCTCCAACTTGTTTTGTCCTTGGGTCAGCAAAATTTGTCCGTCAATGTTGCCCTTGGTCACACTGATGTTATAATTGCCTAAGGTTTCACCTAAATGGACGTTCCCCGTCTCTGTTGAGGTTTCTATCTTTCCACGGATACGTTGAAGGGATATATCTCCGGTTTTGGCATGGAGCTTAACAGAGACATCCGCTGGCGTTTTAATTGTACATTTCAATTGGAGTCCATCATAGCGCACTGCTTGTAACTCTTCCGTATTAGAAAGCGGACTCGGCGGTGTTTCAGGAGAATTATCCGGTAGCTGTATCCTTAACTGAAGTGTGTCATCGCTTTGTGTTCCTGTGAAGGTGATGTTATTAAGATAGTCGCGAATCAGATCGTCCTCTTTTGTGTTTGTGGTTTCCCGTGCCTGCTTCTCAAGGGTAACCGTGATGACCTCGCCTTCTGTGGCAATCAGTTCGATATTACCCGATATATTTAGGCTTAGTTCTATATGATAAACATCTGTAAAACTGAAGTTTTCTGTTGACGTTGTCCCTAATATCAATGTTTGCGCTTCGCTAACCGGGTCGTTAGCAGTTGGAAGTGGTGTCCCCCCTTCGCCTTCAGGATCCGCTGCATCTATATGTTGGACAGGTAGATTCAGCGCGAACATGAAAAAACAGAGTAAATATGAATAAGAGAAAATCGAGCGAGATATGGGTAACATTCCGGGGAGGTCCCTTATTTAATCCAGCATACCTGATTTGCAATGTCGGTTTGCAAACCGTGACTACAGAATTGCTTGACACATTTTAAATAATACTTTATACTTATTAGAAAGTCAAGCAGTTTTTTCGTATCTTTAGGGCTATTCGTTTTTCCATTTTTCGGTCCGGTTTTCATCCCAGACCCGGTAGAATCGGTTTTTTAACCGCTCCGGCTTCGTGAAAAAAAGGTGCGAACCTCTATAATTTCTTAAAACTGAATGACCCTACCGTATCTTTTATCGCTACCGTAACGTTCTCAAAACAGAGCGATTAAAGGCAATATTTTGTAACGAAGTGAAAGAATAAACGTTGCGTACAGGAGATGATGATGAGAGAACCCTTTAAAGGAACAACAGAATATTGTTTCTCTTTTGGACCCTGGAATATACACGAGGGAACAGACCCTTTTGGACCCCCTGTTCGGGAGGCGTTCAGTTTCGATGAAAAAGTTGGATTTTATCGCGATCTCGGTTTTGTTGGAATTCAATTTCACGACGATGACATTGTGCCGGGTATTGACGAGAAAACACATGCACAACTGATAGCGCGAACAAAAACCGTCAAAAAACAACTCGACGACCACGGTTTGACAGCAGAGGTAGTGGCACCGCGGTTGTGGGAATCTCCACAGACTATCGATGGGGCTTACACTTCTAATTCCCCAAAAGAAAGACAGTATGCCCTGGAACGTTCAAAACGATGTGTGGATATCGCTAACGAGATTGGGTGTAAAAATCTCGTGTTGTGGCTTGCTCGCGAAGGCACCTACATCCGGGAAACGAAAGATTCAGCAGGTGCAGTTGGGCAAATTTTGGAAGCAATTAACGCCTTGCTCGAATACGATCCAGAAATCCGAATCCTTATAGAACCAAAACCGAATGAACCGATGGACATCGCTTACATTCCAACTATCGGACACGCTATCGGTTTAGCCTATGCAAGCGATGCGCAGGAGCGCGTTGGCGGATTAATCGAAAGTGCGCACGCTATTCTCGCAGGTTTGGAACCGTCCGACGAGATGGGATATGCTCTCTACCATAAGAAACTTTGGAGCGTCCATCTCAACGATCAGAATGGGTTAAAATTCGACCAAGATAAGGCGTTCGGTTCCGTTAATTTGCGGCGTGCGTTTAATCAGGTGCAGGTACTGGAAGAAAACGGATACGGTAGAAACGGCGAATTTATCGGATTAGATGTGAAAGTCATGCGAACCCAACCACGTGACATCTCAACAAAACACTTATTGAGCAGTCGCAGAACCTTCCTTAACCTACTTGAGAAGGTCCGAACGTTTGACAAAGAGGTCGAACAGGAATTTATCACAGCCAGAGATTATGAAGGCTTTGGACTTCTACATTCTTGAACACCTTCTTGGAGCGTAAGGTTTATTATAGGCGTGTGTATGAAACGCTGTTGTGGAACGCGCTAACTCAACGAAGAGGAATTAAGGCGGCAGAGGACAAAAACAGACATGACAACGGATAAGAGCCCTCTACACGAGGCGGACGGACCTTGTTATCAAGCAGTGATGCTTGTTGGCCCCCCTGGTGTTGGTAAGGGAACACAAGGGAAAATGCTGGCACAAATCCCTGGCATTTTCCATGTCTCCAGCGGCGATATGTTCCGCGAACTTGATAGCAATTCCAAATGCGGACAGATTTTCCAACAATACGCAGGCGTCGGTAAATTAGTCCCTGGTCACATCACAATCAAAATCTGGCAGGACTACATGAGGGCGAAAGTCCAGCAGCAGGTTTACTCGCCAGAAAGCGATCTGCTCATTCTTGATGGCATTCCACGGAACATCACGCAAGCAGGGCTGATAGCACCTTATATAAAACTCTTTAAGGTGATCTACATGGTCTGTGAGGACCGGGAAGTGATGTTTAAACGTATCCGGGGACGGTCACTCAAAGAAAATCGAATCGACGATTCCGAAGAAGTGGTAGTCCGCTACCGGTGGGATGTTTACAAACGAGAAACCGAACCATTGATTGATTACTACCCCCAAGACCTGATTCGAATCATCGATGCCAACACGACTGCAGCGGATGTACTTCACCAAATCCTATCAACGACCGTGCCTATTCAGAAGAATCATTTCAAGAAACCACGGATGTAAATGACTGTGCGTAGGCTTATGTCTTGCCCCTTTTACCGCACTATTCAATTGAGATACCGATAGATGCGGAGTTCCGGATGTGCGAGTGCTCGCATCGGAAACGGGGCACCGCTATCGGATATTTGGATACCTAAAAACTTCGGTGGACACCGGAATGTCTTGTGCAGTTCATACGGACTTCCTTCCCCTAAGACTCGCGTGTAAAATGCCAGTACTTCCCCGAATTCAATCTCGCTGAGAGGGTACCAATCCTCATCTTGATAACGTTGAGGAGACTCTTGGTATTTTTGGAACACTTCAAGATTCGGCACAAGGATAAGCACCCACTTCACTTTTTCATCTGTCACTACGAAGTCTAACTCAGGGAGAAGCCAATCGAATAGGACCTCTGGCGCAACAGCAACAGATTCTTCCTGAGGAATGTGCGCGGCTATCCAGTCGGATGCTGCAATCTTAGTGGGTTGCGAGAACAGAATAGAGGCAAAGGAAACGGTATAAACTAATGAGTAAAGCACTACAACACCACCCAAGACTATGCCAAACCATTTCCAAAGTGCATTAAGACCTTCAGTGGAATGTAGGGACTTCACAGTCTCGCGTGGACGTACCCACTGTAATAGAGTTTCCACAATGCTCGGAAAGCGTATGAACGCGGCAGCGGCGAGTACAGTGAGTGCCGGATAGAGTATCAGTAGATGACGCGCAAACTTAACTTTATGTATCCCGATAAACAGTAGATAGGGAATAACGAAAGCCAGCAAGAGTACTTCTGATACAGGAAACCCACCGACCTTCCCTTTTAAGCGACGCGAGCGCACACAAGACCCCCAAACTGACAAGGAGTGCGAGTGGCAACCCCATGCCCCATTTTAGGAGCGTCCACAGATAGATAAACCGATGCAGCAACCCAGATTCCGCTGCAGCGATGAGACCGAAGTGCCCGCGATGATAATGAGTGGCTTCATACCAGAAATCCTCAAAGAAGAGATTCCATTCGGGTGAAACCAGATCAATGAGCCAATAAGGGCAGAGGAACGTAAAGGTGAATGCGGAAACACCGATGATTGTTGCTAATTTCTTATAAAAACCTTCACTTCTAATGAAGACCAGCAGAGAGAAACCTACAAAGACGGTTGTAAATTTGACTGCGAAACCGATCCCTGCCACGACACCGAGCCATACCGCAGTTTGAAATGTAGGCGCGACTGAAGAAGACCGCGCACGCATCACGAGCCAGAGAAACAACGTTACACAGAAAGTCGCGGGGATGTCAACAAGTGCAAAACGCGATTCATTGGTGGCATGTAACATCGCAACAGCGAGCAATCCGGCTGCAATCTGACCTATACGTTTACTGTAACAGTGAACGCCGATGCGATAGGTGAACCAAAGTGTCGCCGTAGACAACAGAACGTTGATGCCGCGTGCCAATAAGATTACACGGGCTTCTGTTAGCTGTAAACCCGCAAGCGACAGTAATTTGCCTACCGCAGCAATAATGTAAAACCATGCTGTTCCGGGCCAGTTGTAGATTTGAGGCGGTGCTGTGAAGTGGGTTAGATTCAGGACATCTCGTGCGATTAGCACTTCACGTGGGTCGGGAGAATCAGGCAAGCCGATGTCTATGCCGATGAGTCGGAAACTGAAGCCGCTGATGAGAATCGCGGATATAACAAAGTTATTCGATAAACGAAAACAGTTTCTCACCGCGAGAGGCACTCTCATTTTTAGAAAATGTCCAACTTTTCGAAGATACTTCGCCAACGTCGCAAGTGATTGTCACCCGCATAAACAGGAACGAATCCCAAGTTGACGTAATTTTTGATTGCGGGGAGTCGAAAATCGTCTGTGTCTAACATTACAGATACCACACATTGCGTTTTAAAATAGTGCAGGAGAAACACCGTTAGCCATTTTCCGAGTCTATGTCCAGTGTGCTCCGGCAGCACAGCGAGCATGTCAATGTAGCCAATCGGTTTGCCACGAAGCGTTTCCTTCCACGCACACGCTGTACCGATAGGCACATCTTTGTGGATAACGAAACAGAAGCCATCTGGATCAAAATTGGGTTGGCTAATAACATTAGCGTAGGCATCTTGGGTGGTTCTTCCCTTGTCTACGAAGGTTCTGTCCATTATTCGCGCCCAATGTGTTTCGTCTCCTTGTCGATAGGTTCGGATATGATACCCGTCAGGACACCGGAGCGTCGGCAGATTCTCCAAACTGTGTCGAGCCATTTTGAGTTGATCTTCCATTCTCTTTTAACTTGAGACTTTCGTCCACAGATCCTTGGGGAGTGTTTCTTTAACGTTCTCGATTTGCGTGGACATAGAGGGCAATCCCAATTTCTCAAAAATCTTCTGCCATCGTTCTGGCTGCCCCTCTTCAACGTAAACAGGGACGAATCCTAAATTCAGATAGGTCTTGACAGCAGGAACACGGAAATCGTCGGTATCCAGCATTGAGCATTTGAATCCGTTGTCTCGAAAATAGGTGAGAACAGCGAGCGAGACCCATTTTCCGAGTTTGTGTCCGGTATGTTCAGCGACAACGCCTACCATGTGTACATATCCGACATCCTTCTCATCCACAGATTGCCGCCATGCACAGGCAGTTCCAACCGGAGTCCCCTGATGTGTTGCGAAATAGAATCCATCAGGAAGAAATACATCTCTGCCGGTAATCTCATTCTTCGTATCTTGGGCGGTGCGTTCTCTGCCCCCAAACGAATCACTGATGATATGTGCCCAATGCACCTCATCCCCCTCGCGATAGGTTCGCATGCCGTAGCCTGGCGGGAGTTTTAGTTCAGGTAAATCTTTGAGATTGGGACGTACCATTCTGAGTTGTCGTGCCATTTTTTTATTATACCTTGCGGGTAAACAACGGACGCTAAAACTATCAACTGCGTCCCTTAAATCCGCCTGCGCCGTTGTTGCAGGCTACGGTTTTTGTATGATATTTATAGGAGAAAAAAATGTCTTATCACTTTCGTAATTATACCATACCTCAAAAATTGGTGCAAAACCTTTGCAATATTTTTCAAAAGTGCTATAATAAAAAGCCAATCGTTTGTGGAAGAAACAGGGATTCGCAATAAAGGTGGAAATCAGGTGCAACAACCTGTCAAAAAACGCCCCAATATTGTGCTTGTCGGTTTTATGGGCACAGGAAAAACTTCTATCGGAAGACGGATTTCCTCACAATTTCGGATGCGCTACGTGGATACAGACGACATTGTTGAACGGGACAGTGGGCGGCACATCAGCGACATCTTCGCGGAAGACGGGGAACCTGCTTTTCGAGAGCTTGAGAGCGAAGCCGTTTGTAAGGTGTCGAAACTGCACAACCACGTTATTGCTACCGGTGGCGGAGTTGTTCTCAAAGAATCCAATATGACAGAACTCAAGCGAAATGGCATTGTCTTCTGCCTAACAGCAACGGCGGAGGAGATCTATCGACGCGTTGGACACCAGACACACCGACCGTTGCTCCAAGATCCTGACCCACTCGCGAAGATCCAGTCGATGTTGGCGGAACGACAGCCCTACTATGCAGATGCCGATCACATGATAAGAACGACGGGACGCTCGTTTGGTGAAATCATCACTCACATCAAACGGGTATTTACAAAAAGAATCAGGAACCCGAAATGACGAAAACCTTACGCGTGGAACTCGGAGATAACAGTTATCCACTTGTTGTGGGGACAGGACTCCTCAACAGCGTTGGAGAACTGCTCATGCCGCATACAAAATCAAATAAGGTGCTCATCGTTTCGGATGCATTCGTCAAAACGCGCTATATGCCCGTTGTTCTAAAGAGCCTCAAAGATGCCGGGCTTGACGTAAGCACGATTGAAGTGCCTGTTGGTGAAGAAAGCAAATCGTTGGTGCAGTTCTCCCGGATACAGGATAGCTTGGTGGAACATCAACTCGATCGGGGTTCAATGCTCATTGCCCTCGGTGGTGGTGTCATCGGCGACTTGGCTGGATTCGCCGCAGCGGTATACATGCGGGGTATTCCTTACGTTCAGATTCCAACGACGGTACAAGCGCAAGTTGATGCAAGTGTCGGCGGCAAGACAGCGATTAATCATCCCAAAAGGCAAAAACCTCATCGGTGCGTTTCATCAACCGAAGTTGGTCGTCATTGACGTAGATACGCTCAAGACCTTACCGCAACGCGACATCCGCGCAGGACTTATCGAAGTTATTAAAATGGGTGTTATCCGCGATGAACCGCTGTTCGAGAGGGTTGAAGAAAATCTGGAGGCTATCTTAAACTTAGACGACACGACACTTATTGAGATAATTTCACAGGCGTGCGTCAACAAGGCAGAAATTGTTGCTAAAGATGAGAAAGAGAGTGGACTGCGGATGGTGCTGAATTATGGACACACCTTTGGGCACGCGCTGGAAGCCATGACGCACTACAATAGGTATCGACACGGCGAAGCGGTTTCTATCGGCATGCATTGTGCTGCGCAGTTAGCTACCAATTTGCGAATGTTCTCTGAGACCGATTTTCAACGTCAACGCGCCCTCTTAAAGCGTGCGAAATTGCCGATTACCTTTCCAACCGACCTCATCCCCAGAAGCGTTATGTGATGCCATGTATTTAGACAAAAAGACGTTAGGCGGTAAACTCCGCCTCATCCTGCCGACGCGTATTGGAGAAGTCGTTATCCACGACGATGTAGATGATCGGCACATTTTAGAAGCTATCTCGCAATGTTTTTGAGAATGGCTGTCAGTTGTCGGTGGTCAGTTAACAGGTGGGTCTGTTGAACCAGAGTTCTTTTTAACTGATGACTGTTAACTGACGACTGTTAAACGAGGAAACATAATATTTATGAGAAAAATAATTGAATGCTTAATTGTCTGCTTGGTTTTGTCCCTAAGCGTTAGCATTGCATTCAGCCAAGGACTCGTCCCACCGTCAAACGTCACGGCAGTGGACACACCAAACGACGATGGCAGCGGCATTACCATTAAGTGGGATGCCGCACCAGAGGATAGCGGTATCAGCGGGTATCAAATCTTACGTCGGATTGCAGGCGGCGTCTCGAAGAAATTGGCGGGCTACTACCTGCTGGAACAACATCCTACGTTGATTCCACTATCGAAAAAGGAAGTGCTTACGCCTACATTGTGCGTGCGGTTACCGAGACAGAGGCAACAGTGGTTTCTGAGGAAACTGCGCCGGTTAAAGGGACAGGTGAATGGTTTCATATCGGCAAAATCCCGCTGTTTATCGCCATGCTCCTTTTCTCCGCCGCGATTCTTTGGAATATCTATTATGCGCGGAGCGGAAAAGAGATATTTATCCGCCGTATCCCTGGACTTGAGGCTGTAGATGAAGCCATCGGTAGAGCTACAGAAATGGGGCGTTCCATTCTCTACGTATTAGGGTTAGGTAGTGTAGACAATGTGGCGACGATTGCGAGTATGACGATTCTTGGACAGGTTGCGCGACGAACAGCCGACTATGAAACGCCGCTGCGCGTGCCATGCAATGACCCGATTGTGCTGAATGTGGTGCGCGAGATGGTAAAAGCCTCTTATCTTGATGAAGGACGCCCGGACGCTTATAACGAAGAAAATATTTTCTTCCTGACTGGTGAACAGTTTGCCTACGCAGCAGGCGTTGACGGTATGATGCTGCGTGAAAAACCCGCAGCGGTATTTCTACAAGGCACATTTTACGCTGAATCGCTCCTGATGGCTGAAACCGGGAACTCTATTGGTGCGATACAGATTGCCGGAACAGATTCTGAACATCAACTCCCGTTTTTCATAGCGGCGTGTGACTATACCTTAATTGGAGAGGAACTTTACGCTGCTACGGCTTACCTATCCAAAGACCCTATGTTCTTGGGCAGCCTCAGAGGACAAGATTGGGGTAAGGTCGTCATCTTTGCGGCGATTGTGATTGGCATAATTCTTGAATTATCCGGTGTCAATTGGATTACATCGCTCCTACAGCGGGTGAATTAGGAGGTTTTATGAAACGACAAGTACCCTTAGCACTCTGTTTTGTTTTTGGTATAGCGATGATCTTTACCCAGTTCAGTCCACATTCATACTCACAAGAACTTTACAAAGAGGTTATTAACTGGGGTCTTATAATATCCCCTTTCGCGTTGGTTTTGGCGGTGGTAACACTCATCCAGACTCATGTAGCACGCATTCATCGCCGCATAGAGCATTGGCAATATAGTTTTGTTGTTTTTGTCGGGATCTCCTGATGGTGCTGATCGGTATTCCCTTTTGGTCCCCCAAAATCCAGTTTTCGAGTGGTTATACAATAACGTCCAAGTCCCTATGGACGCAACGATGTTTTCCCTTCTTGCTTTCTTTATTGCCTCTGCGGCGTACCGCGCCTTCCGTGCCCGGACATTTGAGGCAACTTTGCTCCTCATCACCGCTCTGATTGTAATGATGGGAAATGTGCCGATAGGAGACCTCATCTGGAATACTGTTATGTCGTGGATTCCTTTGGAAGATGGTGCTACAAAAGCACGCCAGTGGATTTTAGACATCCCGAACCTTGCAGCACGACGTGGTATTATCCTTGGAGTGAGCTTAGGTGTTATTTCACAATCAATTCGGATTATCTTGGGAATTGAACGCTCGTACTTAGGAGGAGGAGATTAGCGAATGCTTGAAAAACTCATGAATATCGACCGGAAAATAATTTTTATATTAGTTGCCTTAACCGTCATCATTCCAACCCTGATCCCGGTCAGGTTACCGACTGCGGTGTCTGAACCAACACAGAAACTCTACGACTATATTGACGCGCTACCTCCAGGGTCAACGATTATCATTGCTTTTGACTATGGCCCCTCTTCTTTAGCGGAACCCGAACCAATGGCAAAAGCGGTGCTGCAGCACTGTTTCAATAAAGACGTGCGAGTCATCGGCATGACCCTTTATCCTAATACTCCCACCTTGGCACATAGACTTATGCGAAAGATCGCTGCGGAAAACGGCGCAACCTATGGTGAGAATTACGTTTTTTTGGGATACCGCCCCGGGCTATTGCAAGTTATCCTTGGAATGGGAACTGATATAGCTAGCGTCTTTGAAACCGATTACGACGGCACTGCCATCACCGAAATTCCGATGATGAAAGATATTAGGAACTATGAGCAAATCGACCTACTGCTTGATCTCGCTGCTGGAAGCTCAACGGAAGCTTGGATCGTTTATGCGAATACGAGATACAATTTGAAGATTGCTGCAGGGGTTACGGGTGTCATTATCGCACAGATGTATCCGTTCCTACAAACTGGACAATTGGTCGGTTTAATGCCGGGCTATTTGGGAGCGACTGAGTATGAAAAACTGTTAGATGCTCCGGGAGATGGAACTATAGGTTTAAACACAGCATCCTTTGTACATCTTCTGATTATTGGACTTGTCTTTCTTGGTAATATCGCTTTCTTCATTCAGCGCCAACGAGAGGAGTAAATTGATGGAAGTTCTTGGTATCTGGATTGCGGCGTTTTTGACGCTATGCATCTATAGTTTCCTTTACCGGGATAACCCGTTTTATCGGTTTGCAGAACACCTTTTTGTAGGTATATCTGTCGGATATGGTATTGTCATCTCTATTCATCAAGGATTTATTCCCTTTGCCTGGAAACCTTTCTACGCAGCAGTAACAGGTGAATCGCTTAGCGGCTTAATCAAATTAATTCCGATCGGCATCGGCTTACTGTTTTTTGCTCGTTTGTCCCCTCGGCATACGTGGTTAATCCGTTATCCTATTGCTATCCTGATCGGTTTTGGTGCGGGAATTGCTATTCCCAATGTGTTACAGGCATCCATTTTCGAGCAAACCCATGGAACACTTACGCCATTCGCACAGATGTATGAAGGCACACTACCTGTTGAGGATATTATCGGAGCAATCTTCATAGCGATAGGTCTGATTTGTACGCTCACCTATTTCTTCTTCTCTGTAGAACACCAAGGCCCTGTCGGATGGTTATCGAAAATCGGCATCGCCTTCCTCATGATCGGGTTCGGTGCGGCATTCGGTAATACTGTTATGGGACGTGTTGCCCTCTTGATTCACCGCATAGGTTTTCTGCTAAATGATTGGATGGGCACGATTTTTTGACTATTAAGTTTCGGTTTCCCTGTGCTCCAAATGTAAAGCAAAGACAAATTATGCCATTTAAGGCATAATTTCATTCCGCACAGGTTTTTAGTGGATTGGACGTTCCCTCTTAGAGTCAGACGTGAGTTTTACCAGAAACCATTGTGAAACCTTCTTAATAGTACAAAACCTGTAGCCCGTAATGAAATGGAGGGGTTTTTGCTGGGGTGTTTCTTCAGATTTAAGAGAAGAACCCTCAAGTCCAAATCCATGACGTTTAACCGCAAGGAAAAATTAAAAAATGAAACTCGGATATAGCACGTGGGGGATGCCCACTGTCCCTATAGACACCGCCATCTCCCATCTCGCGAACCTCGGATACGATGGCGTTGAACTCACCATCATTCCACGCTTTACGACCGAACTCAGCACGCTTGACGCTGCGGAACGGAAACGGATTTCATCCCTGTTCCAACAGCATAACTTGGCACTGCCAGCGATCGCGGCGCATTCCAGTCTGTTGGAAACGGATCCAGAAATCCACGCGAAAAACATGTGGCGGTTGAAAGGCGGTGTTGATTTAGCAGTTGACCTCGCACAAGGGGACGAACTGCCCGCTGTCAATACGACCCCGGGGGGAAAGCCAGAAGAGTGGGAATCTAAGAAAGATTTCCTCGCAGAACGGGTGGGAGCACTCGCTGATTACGGTGCATCACGCGGGGTGTCACCATCGCTATGGAACCCCATATCGGCGCAATTGTCGACACACCTGCCAAGGTACTCGAACTCCTCGAAATCGTCAACTCACCGTACCTCAAAGTCAACTTCGACATCAGTCATTTTGATATTGTGGGTATGCCGACGGAAGAGACGGTGGCGGCGTTAGCAGCGGTATCAGCACATACACACGTCAAGGACCAACGGGGGACTGCCCCTGATCACGAGTTCCTCATCCCCGGCGAAGGTCCTTTTGATTATGTCGACTATCTCAAACGGATGCAAGCACACGGTTATGACGGATTCATCACCTGCTGAGGTAAGCTTCATGGTGCAGGCACGAGAAGACTACGATCCACTCGCCGCCGCGACACTCTCCTACGAAACACTTGCCAACGCCTTTACGGAAGCAGGAATCGAACGAGGATAACGATGGAGACCACCCCGAATATCCTTTTTCTGATGACAGACCAACAGCGTTGGGACGCGATGGGTTGTAGTGGCGATTGGGTGCAAACCCCAAATTTGGATCGGATTGCAAGTGAAGGTATCCGATTCACTAACTGCGTTACCACGTCGCCCGTCTGTATTCCGACCCGACTTAGTCTGGCGACAGGTTTGTACCCACACAATACCCATGTCTGGAACAACATGAACCACCAGATGCCAGCTGAAACGCCGACATGGATGCAAGCGGTACGTGATGCTGGGTATCGGACAAGTCTTTTCGGAAAAACACATCTTCACCCGCATAACGGTGATCTGCGCGAACGCGAGGGAGACCTAATGAATGCCTATGGGTTGGATGATGTGAACGAAATCGGTGGACCGCGGGCAAGCGCGAATGTGCTGTCCCACATGACAGCTATGTGGGAAGAAAAAGGGTTATGGGAGGCTTACCGCGCCGATTACCGTGAACGGTTCAGCACGAAACCACATCTCGTCCGTCCATCAACGTTAGGACTCGAAGACTATGCCGATGTCTACGTCGGACAACAGGCAAAGCAATACCTCCAGAACTATGAACGGGACAACCGTGGTGCTGTTGGGTTCAGTTTCGGTGGACCGCATGAACCGTGGGATACGCCTGAACCTTATGCCAGTATGTACGACCCTGAAGACATGCCACCATGCAATCCCGCCTCCACCTACGGAAAACGTCCTTCCGGACATTTAGACAGACTGATGCAACGGGTGAACCCAACGTTTGATTCCGGCGAAATCGGGAGGCTCCGTGCGAATTATGCAGGCAACGTGACACTCATTGATGCACAGATTGGCGAGATCCTTAACACAATCGAGGCACGCGGTGAACTGGAAAATACAATCATCGTCCACACCTCCGACCACGGTGAAATGAACGGGGACTATGGACTCATCTATAAGAGTAACTTCCTCAACGGTGCCGTTCGGGTGCCGCTACTCGTGCGAACTCCTGAGGCATCGGGGTTACAAACCCCTCCCACAGGAACAATTTGTGAGAGTCCAGTGGAATGGATCGACATTGGTCCAACGCTCGTTGAATTGGCAGGTGGCGAATTGGAACATCGTCAGTTCGGAAAATCGTTGTGTCCAATGCTAACGCAACCTGAACGACACATCGTGAATTTGCAATTTCCGAGATAGAGGGTGAGATTATGTTGCTAAATCAGGAGTGGAAAGCAGCACTTAACGCGAACGGCGAAATCTATCTTTTGTTCGATGTGGAGAATGACCCAAATGAGATAGATAATCTCGCCGGCAGACCCGAAGTTGCGGACGTTGAAACGGCATTGCGCCTGCAAATTTTAGAGCGACTTATGCAGACACAACTGGATAAGCCGTTTCGATAAGGACGGCATCATTTTGATGCCATTGCTGCTCCTTTTCGGTGACAAATTATGCCCTGCCGTAAACAGGGATAGCAGCACCGTTAATGATAGTCGCATCGTCGGAAGTCAGGAAGCATATCACCTTGGCGACATCGACAGGTGCTACCCATCGGTCGTGCTCCTCGTCCGGCATAGCTTCCCGATTCGCCGGTGTGTCCATAATGCTCGGCATAATGGCATTGACATTCACACCCGAATCCATCACCTCAGCAGCCAACGACTCGGTCAAGGTGCGGACACCGCCTTTAGAGACACAATAGGCACTCAATCCCGCTTCACCTTTTAATCCAGCGCGTGCGGAAACGTTGATGATCTTGCCGTAGCCACGTTCGGTCATGTGTGGTATTACCGTCTTGCAACACAGAAAAACCGATTTGAGGTTAAGGTTCATCATGAAGTCCCACCTGCTTTCTTCAAGTTCCGCAGTTGGAATCCCACCGACAAACCCGCCAACGATGTTCACCAAGACATCCAGCGTACCAAATTTGGATAAAAATTCCCCAATGGTTTTCTGAACCTCGGCTTCCTCGGTAACGTTCGCAAAGAGGAAAGGGATATCTTCGCTGAGTTCCGGATTGAACGCTTTGAAACGTTCAACTTCATCATCAAACAGATACGTGACAGCGACACTGTCGCCCTGAGCGAGATAGGCTTTGGTGACGGCACTCCCTAATATACCGGTGCCGCCGGTGATGAGTACGTTGCGGTTCTGTTTTGTCATTTTTAAATTCTCCATTTGGTTTAGTAGCTGTGTGTATAACTTTGAATAAAAACGTTTCACATAACCCCGATGCCGGGGCGGTTTGGTAGTATCAGTTTACCTTCGTCAAGAATTACACCTGTGTATGGGTCGTTTGCGATGAGTAGATTACCATCCAGATCGGCATAGTCTACGAGCGGCGTTAGGTGCGCAGCGGCAGTGATACCGAGCGAACTCTCTATCATACAGCCCAACATAACAGACAAACCGTGTGCACGCGCGACGCTTATCATCCGGCGTGCTTCAAGCAATCCGCCACATTTGACGAGTTTGATATTGATGCCATCAACACACTCAGCGAGAACCGGAATGTCGCTTGCGCGTTTGACGCTTTCATCGGCAATAATCGGCAGTTCTGAGTGTTCACGGACAAACTTGAGTCCCGCCAGATCGTTGGGTTTTGTCGGTTGTTCCACCAATTCAACACCATACCGGGCAAGTTCTCGGATCTTGCGAACAGCCTCCTTCGGTGTCCACGCTGTATTGCATCGACATAGATAGGTTTATCTGTGACATCGCGGAGCTTGCTGATTATTCACATATCTTGCGGTGTGCCGAGTTGACTTTCAGGATCGGATACGCTTCAGCATGCCGGGTTTCTCTGCCATCACCTCAGGTTCATCCAGTCCAATGGTAAACGATGTGCAAGGGGTCTTATGCGGATTAAGACCCCAGAGCTGATAGAGAGGAACACCAAGTCTTTTACCGAGTCGATCATGTAGTGCCATATCAATGGCGGATTTTCGCTGCGTAATTGCCGCCGAGCGTTGCCTCAACGACTCCATCACATCATGGATTGCATCAAGGTCTTTGGGGAGTGCTGTGCAAGGGTCCTCCAATGCTACACTCACCGTCTGACGGTATTCACGCGTAAACCGAGCCGGTGCCGTCTCACCGATGCCTCCATCAATCTCTATCAGAGATCACGTGCCGTGATCGCATCTGTCGCGCGACGCGCAATCTTGAATGGATGCTGGAGCATGCCATAGTGCTGTGATTTGAGTTTTAATCAATTATCCTTGCGGCGGAACGGACGTGATTGAATCTTTTCCGGTCATTGACTTTAAATCGCTCCTCCATTACATTACGACTACAATACGCAACTGACAAACATTCTAATCTATTGCCTACTTTTTTACGTACGGACCATAAACGTTTCTGATTTCTAGCACCAATGCTCCATCACCTTTCAGGAGTCCATGCCCGAAGAGAGATAGCATGAGACCTACTGGCACACGTAGAGCTTGGGTGATTTAAAGATTGAATTTGAAGGGTCATCGCACATTGTATTCGTCTGCCTGGATTTCAGGGCCGCGCTGTCGTCTGTCTTGAACTGAGTAGACAATTGGGGTTCATAATGTCATAGTGCTGTCTGAAAGTGAACTGACTTCAAGTATCCGACCTTATAGAAAAGTTTCTGATCCCTGAGCTTAGGCCTCGCGTAGTGGCGCGCTGCAACCACAATAGATTGTCCCTTTACGCCAATTCGCGTGCGGATTAATTATTTGCAATAATTTCGCTATCCTCTTGATAGCGGGACGCAGCGTTAACCTTGCTTATCCGCTCCTCCAGACATATTTTAAGGATACCTAACGGGAAGAGACAGACAAAACAAATGTTATAGACCTTTGCACCTTGGCGAGTGTAATTAAGTTTCAACATCCCTCTCTTCCAACTGTTGTGTGATGAGCCTTCCGATGTCTCAAGGAGTATCGGTTGCAGAGTACTATTTATAGACGTGGAGGTCGACAATACAGGTGATTGCAAACCGCGCACATCCAGAGACTAATAGGGTGAAGTCCAACATCGACAACCGTTATGCTTGATTAGGTATTGAATTGGGTATATTTGTGGTCGGTCGTTTTGTTGGGAGCTCCGAATTCAGTAGCTCTCTCTTAGAAATCTCTAGCAAAAACGTAGTTGTTACACCTGAAAATTGCTCAATTCAGAACCGCGTATCTCGTAGTTGTTGTGATGAAAAAAAGCTTCCCTCTGAGTGGGGGCATCTGATAAGTAAGATA